GCCACAAAGCTTATTTTTCTCATGTTGTAGCCATTGGAGGGATGCACAATCTCTCCTAAACTCGAATTAGCAACTCCTCAAATGAAGTTGTACAATACCTCCAAAAGGTAGATAATAGAATAACATCCTTTTACGGAATTAGTGGCTAAGATAGTGTATTCAGTTCATGTCAGTTGCACTGTTGCCAGACTTCTATCATTGTGGTTGTTTTGGAGAATTGTGGAATCTCAGCTGTTCTGTTCTCATGCCAATTTCCGAGCAGAAATCAGAACACTCATTTCTTCCATTAGATCTTCCGTTATATTAAACACTGTAGTTTCTCACCCACAGTAAAACTTGAAAGTTCCTGTAGTTCAACTGAGGTTTACATCAGATTTCTGGAAATTTAATCACACAATTCACAGAGGCCCTGCCCCCTTTTTGATCTGGTATTGCCACTCTATCAATTAGCAAATTGATTCCTCTCCCCCCCCCCCCCCCCGTATGTATGTATGTGTATGTATGTCTATCAACATTCTTTTCTAAATGTGAAGAATATAGAATATCCCTGAGTTGGAACATATATTTAAAAATTAAATGACAAGATTGTGGGCCTTCATTCTCTTGAGATCACTACCATTTTTACCTCAGCAAAGCCCACCTTGAGTATTTGCTTCTAATAGTGTAATTGAGATCTGTGTGCTACTTTTTACAGTTCTCTTTTCTTAAAATTTATTTTACTTCTTAAATTTTACAGTTTGCTTTGTGTTTATATTTGTCCACACAGGAGGGATAAAAGCTCAAAGTGGCTGTTGTTATAATTCCCCCCATTCCATGCCAAAAATTCCCCTAATAGGATCTATGCCACCAGGATAATTATAACCAACTTACATTTTTAGAGATTAAATTATTAAGTAGAAGTATTCCTATTTTGTATTCTTGAATAATTTGCTATTTTATATTACTGCAACTTTCCTAGTCTGAACTCCTCCACATGTCTTGATCCCCATGCTTCCAGCTAGCACACTATTTGGGTACCTTGGAAGTTAAAATCCAGCTCATGACAAGAGCAGCTAGATTATATAAACTGTATACAGGTAGTCCTTGACTTACAACTACAATTGAGCCCCAAAATTCTGTTGCCGAGTGAGATATTTGTTAAGTGAATTTTGCCTTATTTTACAATCTTATTGCCATATTCATAAAGTGAATCATGGCAGTTATTAAGTTAGGAACATGGTTGTTAAGTGAATCTGGCTTCATCATTGACTTTGCTTCTCAGAAGGTCGCAAAAGGTAATCACATGACCCCGAGGACATTACAACTCATAAATATGAACCAGTTGCCAACCATCCACATTTTGTTCATGTGATTGACCATGGGGATGCTGCAGTGGTCTTAAGTGTGAAAAATGGTGATAAATCAATTTTTAAGTGACATTGTAACTTTGAGCAGTCACTAAGTGAAATGTTGTAATCTGAGGATTACCTGTAATAGAATCTAAAGAAATTTTTCACAATTACTTTTTTCCCATTAATGTAAATGGAGTATGTGAAATCCTCTGTCTAATTTATTTTCGGTATTTATTTATTTATTATTTTTCTTCTCCCAATAGGCTTGCTGTTATTTGAGCCCCTCTGGTTTGTTTGTTTATTTGTTTATTTGTTTATTTGTTTATTTGTTTATTTATTTATTTATTTATTTATTTATTTATTTATTTATTTATTTATTTATTTATTTATTTATTTATGCATACATACATTACATACTCTACAAGCCTACATTTTGAAAGCATTTAATATTGTACTTAAAAGATAACCACCCATACTTTTTTCAATTATATAATTATGGAAAATATATCTAGTAAGCATTCCTTGTTTTTATTTCATTTTATATCATTTTCTCTCCTTGGATTCTATTTCTTTTAAAAGCAAAATCTGCTCTGTTGGTTATATATTATTTAGATTCTTGATGCCTCATAAAAAGAATGAAATATTTAAATCTGCTTCAAAATTTTTTTTTCATAATTCTAAAAATACATTTAACAATGATATAATAGTTGTAGAAGAATAATAGTCAATTGTACCTAATCAATTTTGGGGGGCATGGGAGAAATAATGCTGGATGTTTATCGTGCGCACACACATAGACAGAGACACACAAGTAAAAACTGAACTCTGCAGGGATTCTATAGAGGAAAACATCTAATTCTTTCTTTTGTACTTGGATTTTGTGCCTTATCCCTCTGATTTCTTTCTATGTTGTTGCTAACTGAGTTATTAATAAATATATTTCCATAGAATTTTGCCAGGATTTAATTTTGTATATAGTCTCTAAATGCTAATGCTGATTGTTTGATGTAAGTTTTATAGTCCCCACATCACACTAGTGTCTTTGGAAATAAATCCATGAAATCCTAGTTAAACAATCAACCTCAAACAAAAAGCACATCACCTACATAGCTCCTAAAATTCTGGTCTGACAGCCCAGTTTTCAGAAAGTTAACAGGCGCTTTGCAAATAGAAAATCTGAAAACTTCTTAGTTGAATTTAAGTTTAATTTTTTAAAAATAAAGTTATTTTTCTTTAAATGTATATCATGGCAGAAGTGGGGTATGAGAAATAAGAAATTATTTTAATGCAAGGGTAGGGAGAAATTATGGTTTTGTTTGTGTAAAATTTCATTGGTAGGAATGGGATTTACAAGGATTTTCTTTAGAGATGTGTTTGTAAAAATGAACTAGTTTGGCTGAGAAAATATAATTCAAAAGGCAGAAAAGAAATACAGAAAATGTTAATTCTTTGGTGTATTCTAATTGTCATCTGGATTTATGCAGCCCAAATCCCCATACTCTTACCAGTTCTCTCCCCCTCTCTCCACCCCCTCACCTATATCAAAATTATATAAAATACATCTTTAATTCTTTAAGCTTTTAATTTCTTGTTCTCAAAAGTAATTACAGAATCAAACTTTATATTTCTCTTAGAATTCAACTAGAAGTTCCCTTTCCTTTGATTTCTCTTATCAAAATAACCCTGTATGTTCCAATCATCAAAATATATGTGTTTACTTAGTTCCTATGGATTATAGGATTTTTCCAATGTTTGCCCAACCTTATAAAACAATTATTTTGTTTCTCTTTTCTTTAAGATCTGCTGGCCATAAGATATGAGATGGCACCATGTGATTCACTCAGCAAGATCTCTTTCTACCTCTTTGACAGAAAAAAGGAGCAAATTAAGAAGCTTCCTTCCAATCCCTAAGGCACTTCATCAAAGTAACTGAACTACAATAAGTTGACAGGTTCTTGGATCTTATCTTATTCTATATTGTGTTTTTTTTAATGATATAGAGAGCTAATTGCTATTTTCTCAATACTCCGATCCTAGGTCAGAGATAGCATTCTCTTGATATGATAATAATTAACTCAAATTCTAAGATTATATTGCTGTATATTTTATTTATTCATCCCATTTGTGGGTATTAAAGCTATGCTAAAATATACTTGGAGCAGTTTTCATATTAAAAGAGGTTCAGTACTATTTTCTCTTTAGCATCTCTGCTGGCTCCATTTACAAAAAAATGTGTTGGGAAACATTTCTCACTGTTCTTGGGTACCATAAGAAATGAATACTTTCTGCCTTAATTTATTTATAGAATTTATTTATTTATTTGCTGCCCATCTTGCACCCAACAACTCTAGTATCCAAGTGGCCTTTACTCATTTGTCTTAAGAAATAGTAAGATAACCATCATGTATCAATAATGAAAAACCTATTCATTATCAGTAGTAAACGTTTACGTCACCTACCTATTTGCCCAACTGCTAAGATGGCTTTCTCCAGATTACATCTGAAAATAAAAGAGTGGATATTTTACTCACTACTAGTCCTAGTATTATTTTACTTACATGTTAAAATTAACTTCATTTATATTTAAATAGCTTGAAAAAATGCAAACTTCTTAGCTTGTTGATAAAAGTATGTGTGTTTGTGATACATATGATTGAAAAGATGGAGGTACTTCATAATGAAGAAATTAAAGATACTGTATTGCAACATTTCACAATTTGTCTTTAGGTTTTGTTCAAGTTATTGCAACCCTCTCCCCTTTCAATTGAGTTCCTTGAAAAAACAGGTTTTTTTAAAAAAAAGTCATTAGGTTTTATTTTACATACATAGAAAGCACTGATAATTTTTTTAGAGCTTTTATAGCAAAATTCTTTACAAGCAGATGAATACACTCAGTCTTCCCTAGATTGGAACTCCAGTATACCTCCCATAATTTCCTAACTAGGATGCCTGTGAACTTGATGCAAAAACATGTTTATGACTTCAGATCTATCAGTATTTTGGTTTGTCTGAAAAATAAGTACATTCTTGTAAAAAAAAAAAAAGACTTCCTTTCTTAAATAGTTTAATTTGGATTTAAAGCAATATGGAACATTGTAGTGCAAGGTCATTAACCACAAAAATGGTTGCTTAATTTGTCACTGCTGCATGAGTCTCAGTGTAAATCTCGTTAATGTGTCTGCTACTGTAAATGGAAGAAAGTAATTATGTTTTATTACCGCTGTTCTAGAAAACCTGTGTTTAAAAAAGAAAAAAGAAATAGTCTGCTTTGGAAATAGTGATATTAGAGTGAAAGAACATCTTAAGGTCATTTGTAACACTGAACCTATTGGACATTTACTAAATTAGACTTTGCCATCAAGATTTCCCATTTGACTACAATTCTCTAAATGTTTATCTGGGGACAAAACCCAGTGAACTTATTTCTGAATAGTTTTGCCCTGGTTGTACCTTAAGCTATATTGACATCATTTAAAACATACCCCTCACAGTCTTCTAAAAGGTTTTTTTTTTCCTTTTCCAGGAATGTCCTTTTAAAAAGCAAACCAACCATGAAGATGTCTATATACTAACCTGTTCTTGACTTCCATTGTTGGTGAGAATGAGGTTGCAGTTTTGTTCCTGAGACACTTTGCTACCACTGTTGGGTAAATGAGAAGCGGTTGGGTGATTATGCTGACATTCCAGCATGCATTTGGTAGACCTGTGGTTAACTCGCTCCCTCTCCATGTGTCTGCTTCTACAAAGCTTTGTCCTCATGATACTATGCTTTCATTCTGCCAGTATGTGCCCCAAAGGTTGCCTTTGTTCTCATTCTGGAGGTTTGAATGTCAGCTGCAGCAATGCGAACCTGAAAGAAATACCCAGAGATCTTCCTCCTGAAACTGTCCTCCTCTATTTAGACTCCAATCAGATTACATCCATCCCAAATGAGATTTTCAAGGACTTGCACCAATTGAAAGTCCTCAACTTATCCAAAAACATCATTGAATTCATAGATGAGCACTCCTTCAAAGGGGTGGCAGAAACCTTGCAAATGCTAGACTTGTCAGACAACCGGATTAAAAGTGTGCACAAAAATGCTTTTAACAACTTGAAGGCTAGGGCTCGAATTGCAAACAACCCTTGGCACTGTGATTGCACCCTTCAGCAAGTCTTGAGAAGCATGGCTTCCAACCATGAAACAGCCAACAGTGTCATCTGTAAGACCTCCGATTTAGATGAACATGCTGGGAGGCCATTTCTCAATGCAGCTGATGCTGACCTATGTAATATTCCTAAAAAGACAACAGATTATGCCATGCTAGTCACCATGTTTGGCTGGTTCACCATGGTGATATCCTATGTAGTTTACTATGTGCGGCAAAATCAAGAGGATGCACGCCGGCACCTGGAGTACTTGAAATCTCTGCCAAGCAGGCAGAAAAAACCAGATGAAGCAGATGACATTAGCACTGTTGTATAATGAGCCCAAACCCTGTGACAGACTGAGATAGCCATTAGGTATGGAGAGCACGGATACCAGCTGTTTCCTTCTAACATTCGTGGTCAATATGTTAAAGACTTTTTCCAATTAAACTGAATTCTGCCACTGTCAACCTTTCTTAAAAAAAAGATGTCTGTTTTGGGATAATAACAGTACTCTTTTATTGTTTCTCTGGTGGTATTCTAAACGAAGTGAACTAAAATGTAAACATTAGTTTAGACTCATTCCACTCTTTAATAATGAAATTTATTTTTTTAATTTAAAACCAAATAAAAGCTAAACTTTGAACCATGTAAATGCAGAGTAATTTATTGACCCAAAGACTGCCTTATAAGCCTTGTTTGGCTATTGCTATGTGGACAGATCACAGATTTACACTGATCAAAAAGTGATTTTGAATCAGGCCAATTCAAATTTCCCGAAATTGGCTCTCTGAAGATATATCTAAACCTTGATATGTATTGATATATTTATGAGAGAGATTATGTTATTATACAACATAGTACCATTCTATGTTCAAAGTATACCACTGTCATTTTGATATTATCAAGTTAATGTTTGGTTAGTTCCAATCTGCTGAATTCAAGTGATCAACTTACTATTGATTTTGGCACTCATATATTTTTATTCTGGCTGCCATGCAACACCGCAGCTTTCTATAACCTGGTACTTAAATTTTGAGTTTCAAGTCTTATCTGCTGCGGATTTGGGGAGTTGATTTCTAAAATATCTGGTGAATATTAGAAAGTAGTTTATTGTAATGAACATAAAGTGTTGCATTTGAATAGATGTATATGAAGTGTTAGAATAGTATTTGTTTTAGTTTAAAAGAGAGCATTGGAGAATGTATCTACAAATCTATTTTGAATTGAGATTGAAGTATAATTTTTCTTCCCTCTCCTTTCATTCTAAATTTTAGAAAATCCACATCCATTATTATATAAATTATTTTTCATATATATGAAAGAGCATATGCAAATAGTTCGCAGTTCTTTGGCTCAATCTTCAATTTTTACTGTGTATCTGTAAGTGAGATAGATATAGAAAATCTTGTCAAGATTTGATGAAGTGGGCTGGTTCCTAATCAAATAATAAAATTAGCTCCTTAAAATCCATAGGAACTTGTTGTATAATTAGAACCTGTGTAACAGATCAGGATCCCTGTTATTGAAAGCCCAGTTATTGTCAGTATTAGGTTAGGGGAATCTCAGAGCTATTGACACTAGGAAGTAAAAAAAAAAGCAGTGGCGAACCATTTCTGCAACCTGCTAAGGGAACCATATAGAGGTTTTCTATTAGAATCACTTTTATACAGAACCATTGAGCTGATGGGGACCGTCAGACTATTATCTAACTCCCTGTTGAGTGCAGAAATCCAAATTAAAACATTTCTGTCTAACAGACAGCTGTGTATCCTCCAGCTTCACTGAATGACAAGGAGAAAACTAGCTCTGAAAGTAAATTTTTCCCCTAACAAAATATTGTTAATTTTTTTCTAATGTTCAGTCAGAATTGTTTTTCTATCATTTTAACCTAACAAGCAACTTGATTAAAATATGACAAATTTAATCTAGCAAGATTTATTTTTAACAAATATATGCTGAAAATAGTATCTTCATTGTTTTCAAGGTGCTTACAGATTGCTGTCTTTATTTTCATCTTTAGGTCTTCCCAACCACATATCAATTTTAGATTGGTCTGTAATTTCTTGAGTCCATCTATTGAACAAATATATGAATTTTGACTTTCTCCAGTCACCTAGCATATCACAAGGTCTCAAGGATTTTTTCAGAGATAATTCATGTTTGGTCAGACCATTAGCAACTTACCATGTAGTTCATAAAGCCCTAGATATCTAAACTATTCGTGAGAAAATTGCAATTTCCTGACCTTGCTTATGTCAGTCTTGAGCTTCATTCCTTCCTGTTCAATATGCTCATGACTGGCAAAATATCTGCTTCTTGTTAAGAGATGATATGGTCAAAAGAGGACTTGGATAGTTATGTTCGCATTTTGCTTTTGTTCCTTTAAATATACTTTAAGAAAACCTGTTCATTTTTCTAATATTCTGCTAATTTCAGCTCATTCTGAACTTTCGATTTTGTGCCACCATTCTTACAGTTTTGGGTGTCTCACTGTACTCTCACCTTGGTAATCTCTCTTTACAAGTTTTTGTTTATTTGTTTTTCAGAACTCAAGTGTTTCTGGATCTGGGCCATACTGATTCAATATTTTAATACCTTTCTTTAGCTATACTGTTTCGAATCTCTTGTTCTTCATTATATACGAAGAAATATACCCAAAGTGAACTGGCATCTGAAGGTAATGGAACACAGGCCTTCCATTGGGCCTCAGCCCGTTACGTACAATCATACAATGCAGTGCAATTAATTCTTCACACAAACTTGAAATGCGTACAATAACCTTATTTAATTTGTGCTATGTCTCACACACTCCTAAGCTAGCTGTGAATTTAGAGAACTAAAATCCCAACATTAACCTAATCATGTTAGTGATTATCTGAATTTGGTTCTGATTTTGAAGGTATCTGCTTTCACTGAAGTGGGGGAGAGGGTGCAGAACCAAATCAAGATAATCACTAAGATGATTAAGTTAATGTTGAGATTTTAGTTAATTAGTTAGTTAGTTAACATGATTAAGTTAATGTTGAGATTTTAGTTAGTTAGTTAGTTAATTATTTATGAAATGTTTTAATACTATAATACTGATTTCTGACAACTGGGTATCAACAGTTTCTAAGCTTTTTAAGGGAGGAAAAGACACCGGACGACTTCTTGAATCAATCCAGAAGCACTTAAATTTCTTCATATGCTCCTCATATATTTTGTAGCATATTTCAGTTGAGAAATTTCAAAGTACTGAAATTGGAGAACCAATCACTAATTTTTCTTTCCAGACAACCTTTATTTGGAATATATAATCCAACCAGTGTTTCAGTGTTTTGATTTGTTGATTAATTGAATTGGGATGATGTAAGTATTGATTATATGCTGTCTCCCCCGCTGTCAGGAACAAGTAGTAATCTTCATCACAAAGCAGCTAAACTGGACAGTTGCTTTATTACATATTAGTTTTGAAAACGTTATGAAATCAGCATAAATTGACTCATTAGTAAAAGAAACACAGGTAGTCCTCAACTTACAAACATTTGTTTGGTGACTGTTTAGAGTCACTGAAAAAGTGACTTATAATAGTTTTCACACTTAATGACCATTGAACATTCCCATGGGCATATGATCGAAATTTGGATGCTTGACAAGTGGCATGTATTTATGACAGTTGCAGTATTCCAGGGTCATGTGATCACCTTTTGCAACCTTCTGACAAGCAAAGTGAATAGGGGGCCCAGATTTACTTAACCATTTTATTAACTTAACTACAGCAATTCACTGAACAACTAAGGCAAGAAAGATTGTAAAATGGGGCAAACTTCACTTAACAACTGTCTTGCATAGCAATGGAAATTTGAGGCTCAATTGTGTTTGTAAGTTGAGAACCACCTGTAGTCAAAAGAAGCCAGGGGCATTGTCCATTTATTAATGTACAGCACTAATACATCACGAACAATATCCATCCAATTTATAAAATTAGTGTCCATTTTTCGGTTACCATATCCTCTGTTCAAACTGTGATGCTATATTCAGAACTTTATCTCTCCTTGCCAGGCTTGAAATTAATTAAACTATTCCATAATGGAAACAGAAATAAGCCCTTTTATTTTATGAATGTAACAAAAGCCTACTTTTTAACCCTAAGAAACATCTAGGGTTTTTTTCCCTTCAAACTTACTTTCTCTTTTCTTTTTTGAAAAGTTTTTTTATTTTTAATCTCTTACATACATTTACAGGTATACATTCACACAGTTATTATTTTTGTTATATTTTATCACTTTTATACATTTACATGTATGACTACATGTATGATTACATTGTATTTCATATATGGAGTTAAAATATATATCCAGGATTGCTTTGCTTATCATCTCATACACCTATTTTATGTTACCGCCACTCTACTTTTCCTTCCTTTTTCTTTTTCTGACTCAGTTTAGTGATCAGGCAAAATAATGCTTGAAAAAGGGGGAATGTCAACAAAAGGGAAAGGAATAAAATCCAATTGCTGTTGATAAAATACATACTTCATTAGATCAATTAGCTTTTTTAACAGTAATAAAATATAAATAGCAACAAGACAAAGCTTGAAAGAAAAATCATTAAGTCACTTAAAGCATATACAATAAAATAATTTAATTTTTCAGATATGTGTATAAACTCATGTATATAATTAGAAAAGAGTTTCATCTTTGGATACATTTTGGTATTATAAAAAACAAAAATCAGGAATTCCAAATTAAAACTAAAGGATCAGAATTCATACATGCACTTACTCCCACAAACTCCCACAAACAGAATGGATGAAATAAATTCATAATAACTTTAAAAGAAATGTGTGTGGGGGGGGGGGGAGTAACATCTCTGAAATCCTTAGTTTTTGAAGTGGGGGAAATCAGTTACAAACATTTTCTGTAAAATAAAGGAGCATTTAAATGCTCATCTTTATTAGTAAAAAAAAACCCTAATGTTAATAATTTTAAAAATCTCATAGAAGTGAGCACTATGAACATAAAATATTTAAACATTTCAGACATTTATATGCATGTGAACTATAATCAAACTAAGCTAAGCTCTGTAGATGTAATAGAGCTCCCACTTCCTCATCAGTTTCTTATTCTATCTTCTTGGTATCTTGTGCCAACTGTTCAAAGTTACAACATAAACCCTTTCCCAAAGTACTTACAACACAGTCCCAATGTTATGAATCTTGCATTACCACAGCAGTCGCTCACCCTTACAAATGACTGTAGAAGCACTGCAATATTTGCCCTGTCTATTCCTCCTGCCCCAGCCAGGTCTCCATAGGCACTGGGCCTGTGCAAGCCTTCGGTTTCTTTGCCTCTTCATTTCCTCAGGCCTTCAGTGCATTCACAGAAAACTGAGGCCTAAAATCGTGTGAGAAAACACAAGATCAGGAGCACAAGATCTAATGCTAGTGATCTTGCACTACTTTAAGCCTCTGTTCTCTGCGAATTGCAGCCTGGAGGAGATCTGCGGCCAAAGGCTTTCCAAACAAATACTTCAGTTCTTCAGGCTTTCCCTCCGTTTGCCCTTTTCTTGCCAAAGCCTGCAGGGGCAAGAGATTGTATCCCCATAGACTCGGGTTGTCTTCTTTGCCAGCAAGAAAGGAGCCCAGAAAAGGCTGGTGCATCCATCCTGGGCTCCGTTCTTCCCGGCAAAGGTTTTTCACAAAGACGATCAGCCTAGGAGGACACAATGTCCCTCTAGTCTCCGGCAAGACTTTGATCAAAGTGAAACCATTGCAGAGAGGCTGGAGAGGAGACAGCTCATTGAGATCTTTAAAAGGTAAGTGGACTCAGTTGGGCAGGATTGGGGCTGGGAACGTGAGATGTCTCTGGGTTGGGTGGTTGAAAACACTAGGCCCTCCATGCACTGGGTGAAGGCAGAGAGTTTCACATTTATTCAATGTGATTCACTCCAACAAATCCTTGGGTTATGAATGTAATTGGCAGACTCCCTTACATTCATAATTCAACGATTGCCTATAGTTTACCAGTTCCATTAAAGGGGCTTCCAATTTGGCATTATTCCCTTAGCACTTTTAGTCTTTAAAAGCATCTAGATGCAGTCTGGGTGAAAATCTCAACTACTATCCTAGGAAAAAACAAATATAAATTCTTTATGCATGTTAATTTTCTGTTCTTTTTTAAAATGTAATCTAGCTTGTTATTAAAAAAATAAAGCAAAGATAATAAAATTATCCTATTGTTCTTTGACTGTTACCAAGTTACCAAGACTAACTAGAAAATATGTATAAACATAAACAGATTTAGTATTTCTGAATAAACATGTTACTGGAGTTTGATTTTGCAAAAGCCTCTTCTCCTGCCCATTACTAAATTCTATAGAAGTGTTGAGTAATTTACAGCAGAGAGAGCAAATTGGAGAAATTTCTGAGAAGAAAATGTATCTCTTTTCTGCTAAATCTGCATTTACTAGAAATGTAAGAGGCTAGTCTCAGATCTATGAAATATGTCTTTAAAAAATGCAACCAACTTTTGGGGATTGGATGAAAATCTGATCCTAGGGCTGAAATTCATAGGTAGGATTAATCAGATTGATGTAAATACATGATAATTATGATCAGAGTATTTCTAAATCAATTAAGATAATAATAACAACAAATCCCTAAAATCAGAAGGACCTAAAATGCAAAGGAGAAGAAAACATTTGAAATAATTGAATACATTTGAGCTTCCACTAGTGATTAGAATGTTGTCTTATTCTAAGATAGACTAACATATCTAAGTTTTCCAAGATTTTAGATAGCTAGTTTCCCCCCACCCCAATACCCAAATCTTAATCTTTTTAGAATCCATAATCACCATTGTAATACACTTTGCATTCTGGGAATAATTGGGGAAATGGGAAAGCTTTGGTTCCCATCCATCCTTATAACACCTCCTTTTTATTCTTACTTGTAAGAGCGTAAGAATGAGTTAAGATAATTCTTCACTTACAACCATTTGTTTAATGATTGTTCAAAGTTACAAGAGCACTGAAAAAGTGACTTATGACTGTTTTCCACACTTATGACTTTGCAGCATCCCCATGATTGTGTGGTCAAAATTTGGATGCTTTGCAACTGGTATATATGCAGAATTGAATGGAAACTTCTTGTGTGAAGTATAATTTCTCTTATTTTAAAGCTATCAACTATCTTGCCTCATTTAATCTCTAATCCTGGTTTGCACCAACCTGGAATCGTTTATGTAGGTGTTTGTTTCTTTATATGTATATTTTGTTTGGCAAGTGTTTTTCCTTTATCCTCAAGCTGTTAAAAAGAATCTTATTATTATTAAAACATAGAATTGGGAAGGGCATCTAAAGCATCCAAGCCAACCTTCTGTTCCATAAAGGAATTCAAATTAAAGCATTCACAACAGCTGTCCAATTTTTGTTTGAATATGTTCGGTAAAAGAGAAATCACTATTTAGAACAGGATACCTACCCATGAATCAGCACCGGTACGCAGCATGTCAACAACCTGTCCATGCAAACAATTGAAGCCCCAACCAGGCAGCATGCAAAACCACCACCCCACCAATCCACGGAAACCGGTCCCTGGTGCCCAAAAAATTGGAAGCTGCTGATTTAGAAGATAAGATAACAGAAGAAAAGATAGAAAAGGAAAAATAAGAAAATGATGAATTCTTCCAAGCCAGA